AGAGTTTGCGGAAAGCAGTACTGCTTTGACTGGTTGAGCCTTGGACACGGGAACATTTTCGGAATACTGTCAGTAACGTCGTCACCATAAATGATTGTGTCAAGAACGACTGCGGTTTTGTTCACAATGGTTGTGGCAACCACACGCACTGAAGAATACAGTGAGTGTGCTATTCCCACGCATACTTCTGAAGCTTCAAGCGCACTGCTCTCAAACAACCTTTTGTATGGTTTCGGTACTAAAGTTCATATCACACGCCGTGACTAGGAACAGTGTTCGGAACATTCAAGTTTTGGCCCAATGAACGCAGTAGAATTTGCCTGAGGAATTTAATGAATTCGCATCTGCCGTGGTTTCGCATCACTGAGATTACTGTATGTTTAGATGAATGCCTCCTAAATTCTTTTAAAATGAAATGTGGTAAGTTCGCAAAAACCTAGAGTTGACTGACCTGCATTTCTGTCAACGCAGCCAGATCATGCGCAAAAATTTCGATTTCCAGGAGGTTTTCATGACAACTGTACAAACGAAAGAAACGATCTAAATTCGGGAGTCTCCTGGACAATCCGGGAGACATGGCAGGTATGGCACGGAGAGACAGAGGTGGGAGCGGGAGGGTGGGTGCAAAGTTAGCTTTGTACATTGATGTAATAGAGATGGGCAAGAGGGGGGCACAAATTTCAACCCCATACATTCACATAATTGGGAGGAGGGCGCTGCGACGAACATTAGCCTACCCTCGAAGGAGAACCTCGTGCACGCCTATGTCCCTGCCCCCACACACATTCAAAGCTTGTTACAGTAAAGCTTCGTGAATACGTACATACACAGCGAAAACATGGCTAACTGCGCACAATAGCGTAGTATGCATTAGTCAACAAATACCAATTCTCTACAAGCGCCATCGCCACTAAAGAAGTAATAAATACTGGGCCACAGCAAATATAGACTAAAGTGCTCACCACGATATTTCTGTTTGCCAATTTTCAGAAATGATTGTCACTCTTGCACAGCCACCCCATAGCACACGGTGGCGACATCAAAGTGCATTTCAAAACTACTGCGGGGTCCGGGATACGCAGCTGACGCAGCGACTCGCATGGCGACGAAACGGACATGAGCGGCTGTCTGGAATAAATGTGTACCGCGATCTGCTACTAAGCGAAAACTTGAAACGCAGCACAGTTGCAAGTAGCCGATCATCTACTAGCTAATTGCGTGCAGCGCTTTGCCTACTTGGCGAGCACACCGTGCCGAGCCGCTTGCGCACGCTCTGCTTCAGACCATGCACAGATGCTTCGAGAAGCCTGCTGTGTTGACGGGACGATGCGAGCTTTCTGCAAGGGATTCTCTAGCGGCCCTGGCAGCAGACGGAGGTGGGTTTGGGATGTCGCCTCATGAAAGCGTGTGCTACGCTTGCTGTCTCGGTGCCCGTGATCCACAACGGTCAACTCTGCAACAACGAGTTGCTTTTATTTCTGAAAAGCGGCGCACACTGAACACGGTCCTGCACAATGATTGAGGCAACAACGGTCTGCGCCTCAGCGCTCACAGGCAGTCGCCAGCTATTAAAAGCGTGCACTAGGCTTAAAACCGCGCTACGCCACATTTGTAGCCTTTTACTCAGTGACAAATCATACTGGCATGCCTTTCGATAGTTGCCACATTCCCTTCGTTCTCTGCCAATGGTTACCAGAAAAGGCGCCGGCTCAATCGTGGGGAAGTCGGAATAATTGATTGGCCGATTGCGTGCTTTTGCAGCAGCGCAACTCTACGTAAATGCAGCAGCGCACTTGTACAAGATTAAACCCATCACGTAGTATCCGCTCCAAAACTACCTTGTGGCGCAACAATGGCACAAGTTAGACAAAAAATATCATTTAGGAGAAATATTGTGCAGTAATTTCCAATTGGCGCATGTTTCCCACCACCGCACAGGAAATGCTGACTACCTAAAATGCCCACCACAAAGCCACTACTTTCTTTTTGCAAAAGTGCAGAAAATATTCTGTCACAGAATCATCTGATAGACGCGGTGGTGACGTCAAGAAACATTTCGAAACTACTGCGGGGTCATCATCATCATTTATCAACCCTTAAAGGCCCTTGGTGGGGTATTACGTAAGAGGGGAGCGTATGCAAGAGAAAAGAAACTTTCAAACAGTCAGTAATAAAGCAAAACACAAAAAATATAATTTAATGGCAACAGGTGAAATTCCAAACAGTTAAAAAATACACGTGAAAGATAATGCGCTCAGAAAGAAGAAAACGCAAATAAACAACGATCTCGATCCATTACGCATCAGCACCCAATAAATTTACTAGTACATCTCAAAATTTGATAGGGTCTTGTTCAACCACAACGCGGTCACGTTCAACCACAACACGGTCAGGTAACCTATTCCATTCTGCAATTGCTAATGGCAAGAGGGAGCTGTTAAACAAATTGGTGGAGCCATGAACTGTCTGAAGACTAAGGTAGTTTGACAGGTGGCATGAAGTGTGGTTTGGCAGGAGAACCAGGTCACGTAAGTGTAGAAAGTGTGAAAACCGGCCTTCGCTATTTTCCCTATGATTACCTCAAAGTCATCACCGCTATTGTGCGGAAGCCAGAATAACTGATTGGCTCAACTCCGCACTTATAAACATGATGGAAAAATATTCATGACACATTCTGGCGTGTGCCAGTTCAGCGATGCCGTAAAATTTTGCGGCGTAAAACTTTATCACGGTACACAGTTCCGGGGTACGCAATAACCGGTAGGCATAAAGCGAACACTACAACTTAAGTGGTGCACGTTAGTCTTTATGAGAATCAGTCGGGGATTCGTTGTAACTACATTTTAATTGTTAGCAGGTAAAAAGCGGGTACATACTAACGAGGTTTGACTGTACAACAGCCACCACCGCTCCTGCCACTACTACTACTGTGTTACAAGCTGCCACTCTAGCGTCGCCAGCGCGAAGTCGGCGACGGGAATGACAGCAGGTTGGTTCGTTCCGTACGCAAGCAGAGACAGTGAAGAGATCAGAGACGTGGGAAAACAAAACAAACTTTACTCTAGTGATATTGCAGCACACGGGATCTAATACAACACTTCAATACAACTAACAAAATACATCGACACTTGAGACAACTAAAGAAATATATAACAGAGACAATAAATCAGCTTACGAGAGAGAACTATTACAAACTACACAAACTAACACAACAGAACTACAGAGGAGAAAGTTCGAAGATATAAACAGGTGAAGGCATACGTGTGATGACCGGCAGCGTTGTGTCCCCGACGATTGGATGCGAGAAGTCGAAAAGAGTTCTGGCACGACTGCGATGTCGGCGCTGTTGCAACGCTGGTGGCTCCGGGAAGCTAGTGCTTGCAGGTGATTTCGAGCAGGTTGTGCTACCTCGAGGCGAAGTCCCGATGTCTACGTTGGCGACGTTCATATCGCGTCACAACTAGACGAACGGCTAAGTTTAGGTGGCCAGCCGATACAGAGCCACACTAAAAACTTCTAGAAGAGATGCTTGTTGATCTGTTTCTACACCATCTTGGTCAGCGACTAGTCTGCCTAGCAGGGCAAAATCCTGCGCTTAAATCCCTCTCATGTCTCCTCGCTCTCTTCCTTGGGGACAAGAGACCTCTACCTGGGTCCAATCATGCGCGTTTAATTGATGGGAAACTCCGCCCCAAAAATATTTCGACCCCACCCCTTTTTAATTGGGAGAAGGCCCGCAACTAGCGAGAGTGACAACCTGTCGGGTTGTTGTCCTACGGCTTGGCCACCAGAGCGTTTCCCACGCTTTTCCCCATGGGAACGGTCAAACGTTTGGCTCTCAGCACGTGCGTCTTGTAGTCTAATCCTTGTTCGGGGTATACCGCGGCCTTCTACGACCTTGCAGACGTCGCCACAGTTACAAAAGGATTAACTGTCGGCGGCGGCGTTCTAAGGAGAGCACCCCATTTTGCACTTATCGGTTCCCTTTCATGTGCCGCCGTTTCTCACGGTCAGTCGGGGAGTACGGCGCCCGTTAATTGCCGTGACGCGGTGTCGCCAAAAATAGCCGTCCGTGACATACTGCTATTCCTTTTCCACAATCGTATGGGTGCATGTGTGTGTTGGGGGGGGGGGGGGGGGGAAGGGTTTGGACAGAGAGTTGTCTCTATATCTGATGCCAACATACCGACGTGAAGTTTGCGAGCATTTAAGCGAAGCTTCTGTGAGCTACTTATTTCAGTGGCGGAGGCATAGTTCATCAAAAACCCCAGTGCCAGCAAGTGTACAGAAATGTGCACAAACAGGCCGTCGAAAGCATGCTGGTTACACGACCATTTCTAAGTGCCGATTTTCCAATAACTGATACTCTCTTGATTGTGGGCTGGCCATTTCTTTCTGATATGGAAATATGATCTTTTATAGAGATCACTTGCCATTCCACATTGACACCTTTCATTGTTTCACACACAACTATTGTTGCTGCCAGCAGTGACCGAAGTGTTGCTCTACTAAGCATATAGTTGAAGGTCTGAAGGAAGGAAAAGGTCAAGAGAGAGACCATTGGGCAATTTGATAGAACAGAAGAATGGCATTTCGGGCACATACACAGTGAGGTTTGCTTGCCTCCATTTTGGCATTCAGGAAAAGGCCCCTACTTTTTTTTTTCTTTAAACACTTGTAACCCTTAGCAGTCCGTAGGAAAGGGCACGACAGCTTGAAGTGTTCGCAGAAGTCCACAGTCAGGCTCATCAGTCAGGTCCACAGTCAGTCAGGCTGCCTGATAAGTTCGTTTGAGGTTGATTCACGTGCATGTTTTCTCACCATGTTATGCCCCATCAGAGTGAATAAACTTGTTTTGCTTGAGCTTCGAGTTTTTTTTATTTGGGACCAGATCAAACGGAAGGTGGGAATATGGCTACTGAATCGCAAAGGGTTAACCCTGTTTAGTAAAAGCCCAGTGACTGTATCACCCAAAAAGCACGACGTGGTAGGACACCGACCTGGTCCTTCCGGTTTCCCAGTCCGAGCTGCCCTTCGGTGTTGCGACCCCAGGCGTAAATTTCCCCATCCTGGGTAAGTAGAAGTGCATGGTTGGAGCCACAGGCCATGGCCACCAGGGGTCCTCGCACTGCTGACAGGTCCACCTCAGTGGGCAACAGGTGGCGCTGGTGGCCGTGGAGCAGGGCCTGTGCGACAACAGCAAAGCATACTTTGACCACTCCCACACACAGCACACAGATTAAATCAAATTGGAACGAGTGAATTTATTTATTTCTCCTGTTTACAGAAATAAAAAAATTTCACGAGTTTCACACCACAGAAACCTTCAGACAGTGAAGCTGCAAGGGCGCAGGTAGCTAGAGAGGTCACATGATTTAGCATCATTTACGATCATTAGTATCATGTTATTTTATTTCTTTCTTTCTTTGTTACCCCCTCTCTGGTCACACCATATGTGTGACAGCTTCTGTTTCTACGAGGACAATAACAACAGTGCAGAGCCGACTAAAGTAGTTACACCTTACGTGTGAAGCCGAATAGAGCCGAGAGGCAAACCAACCCTTGAGTTGGAATCTCACAGTTAAGCCCAAGGAACTGACACCAACAAAAGTCATGAGCCTTTACTACGTTCAGAGGTTCAAGAAGATACATGAAAGTCATGTTGTTGATTGATCAGCAATTACAGAGTGGTGCTACTGGCGTCTAATGCAACCAGATATGCAGGCACTGCACAGAACATTAAAGGTACCGTACTCGCGAATTCAACTTTGACATCAAGTTTTTTAGTAGAACAACTGGTATCAGCAGTCGCTCAAGACAACCATGTCACGTTGTGACAAATCTGGTCTCTAAAGGTAATCTTGGTTCTGATCTACGCATTTGAATCGACATTATGCTGATATGACCTGACCTGGAGATGGTAAAAGCGAGCTACTTAGCCCTAAATTGTTCCATTTGAATCCACAACTACTGTACACTCAAATATAGATCAAACGACCACACAAAATACAATGAAAAAAATCTGTAAAAATAGGTTGTATGCACGAGCTGAAGGAAATGAGTTCTAGCCTCGACACAGACAAAACTTGTTGGAACATCGGTGCGAGCACACAACCCCTGTTCACAGATTTTTTCTTTTTATCGCAAGCTTCCATTTCCCTCTTCCTGTCATTTTCTGGATCTACAAAATACAAGCATTAGCTGTAACGTTATACAGTCGAACACGTTTATAACAAACTCAAAAATGCTGCATTAAGTAGTTATTATATTAGTAGTTCGTTCGTGGTGCATGGACTTGCCCTTGAAAAAGTCTACGTAGAGACGTCTTTTTGTGTGTTGCATGTTAACCTTTTAATGCCTGAATTATTAGGCTGCTGAACAAAATAAAACTTGCTTTCATCTTCCAGCTTTAAATAGTAACCTTTAAATGATGCTGCAGTGAAATTATCCTCCTTAGTCCCACGGTCCCCACTTAGGTATTGTTGATTTAAGAAAAGGCTGCAGATCGCCACAATTTGATATCCGCGTGTCCAAATTTGTCTTGCCCCAATAAGCACGAGTTGGTTTCGCTAAGCCCAACAAAGTGGCACCATGTGTTCAGTCATGCTATGACAACGAGTGAACGAAAATGTTGATTGATTGATTGATTGATTGATTGATTGATATGTGGGGTTTAACGGCCCAAAACCACTATATGATTATGAGAGACGGCGTAGTGGAGGGCTCCGGAAATTTAGACCACCTGGGGTTCTTTAACGTGCACCCAAATCTGAGCACACGGGCCTACATTTCCGCCTCCATCAGAAATGCAGCCGCCGCAGCCGGGAGTTGAACCCGGAGTGAACGAAAAAGTCTGAGTACTGCACGAGCGCTCGACAGCGGCCTCGTGATAAGTGAAAGCTTCATTTTTTTTTTAGCTGTAGCATGAACGACACCTATAATACATTCTTTCAGCTGTGGATGCCCTGAAGATCGTATTGAAAGTCATTTCAGTCTGGTACTTTTCTTGCAAGCAATCATAGAGATTTCAAAAGTTTCAGGAGTACTCAAACGGGTACCATCACATTTTGAGACAACTGTTCAATTTTCCGTGCTCATAATTCTTCTGCATTTGCTTTTGAAAAGCCAAATAATACAGTTTCGCAAAAGCTTTTTTCATTAGTGCATTCTTGGAAATAAGGAGGTTATTTAAAATGCAACTTTAATGTATACTTTTACGTATTCCACAAATTCTGCATATTCCACAGAAGCGAGAACCTTGCAACAAGAACACCCTTTACAATTACTTGACATGACGTGTGCCACCTCTTGGTTTCATACACACCAAATAAACAAAATTACTGTCCAGTTGAACACAGCTATATCAAACCCACATATATAGAATTTTCGGGTATATCGAACTCGTAAGTTATCCTCTTGAAATTCCTTTGTAGAAGTATAGAAATTCGCACGTTTATATTGAACGGTATTTTTACCCGCCTTTGGATATATCGAAAGCCGCGCGAGCTGGAAGGTGGGCTTAGGCACTCGTTGCACCCTGCGACTTTCGCGGCTTTGCACGCGAGTTGGAAGGTGCATTTTGGCACTCGCAGCGCCCAGCGACCTCCGCGCGGCACCACGCCTCCACCAATTATGCTGGCGGGTGATTTTAACATGCCCAATGTTGAATAGTGCAATTTTCGTCCAGTTGAAAATAGTCGGTCAACACTTCATTCTGCCTTTTTCGAGCTTACCAGAGTTTATGACCTTTTCAGTTTGTTCAGTTTCAAACACGACTGGGTTCGGCAAGTGATAGTGTCCTGGACCTTCTTTTTATGAATCGTAACAATTTAATGAAGTCGGTTGTTCTAATTCCAGGCATAAGTGACCACGATGTCGTTGCGGCTACCATTGAGTGGAAAAAGATAGAAATCAGTAGACCTCGTTCACGAAAAGTTTTTGCATATGATAGAGGCAGGTTTGATGCCATCAATTTTGAACTGGATACATACCTTCCGATGTTTATCCAATGCTGTCAGTCCAATGACATTGAAATATTGTGGGGGTTGTTTAAAGAAAAACTGTTGTCTCTGGTAAACATTCATGTCCCATCGAAAATTGTAACTGCCAATCGTCGTGGTGATAAACCTTGGATTACTAAGGATATACGTGCGTCAATTAAGCGTAAGGCTCGGGTGTACAGAAATTATTGTCGCACGCGCAGTGCTGATTTATTTAGTAAGGTTAAAGCATTAGGCTCTAGCCTGAAGACACAGATAAAGCTGGCGAAGCGCGAATATTTATCGTCCCTTAATAGCAAAATCAAAACAAATCCAAAGGAACTCTGGCGTCACGTTAAAAGTAACAAAAAAGACATCAGTGGAATTCCCTTTATCATACACAATGACGAACTACTTAGAGATGATATGAGTAGAGCAGAATGCTTCAATGCGTATTTTCAATCCGTTTTTTCTCCGCCAAGCCCGATATCTCCCGTTACGAAACTCAGATCGTTATCAACTATGAATGATATCATAATAACTGAATCAGGTACAAGAAAACATTTGAATAGGCTGAATCCCCAGTCTGCGCATGGTCCCGACTGTATTTCAAACCACATACTAAAACGATGTGCTGATCATATAGCTCCATTTCTAGCTGCTTTGTATGAAGTATCGATAAGGTGTGGAAAATTGCCACGAGAGTGGAAGTTAGCCAATATCACGCCTTTGCACAAATCCGGCGTCCGTGATAAGGTATCTAACTATAGACCGGTATCGCTAACCCCCGTTTGTTGCAAGACACTGGAACACATAATCTATTCTTGCCTTATAAAGCACCTTCAAGATAATAATTTTTTACTCCGTCTCAACATGGATTTCGTGCAGGCCTTTCGTGTGTTACACAGCTAACCGAATTCGTACATGACATCGCTTCATCATTCGACCAGGGCATTCAATTGGAGGCTGTTTTTTTGGACTTCAAAAAAGCTTTTGATGTCGTCCCCCACAGTCTTTTGCTTCATAAGTTGTCGTTTCTTGGTATTCCTAAAACCCTCATAGACTGGATTAAGGATTATCTCAGCGGCCGCAAGCAATGTGTTGTGATAAATGGTGTGTCTTCATCAACAGCTGATGTACTGTCCGGGGTGCCACAGGGGTCAGTCCTGGGGCCGCTTCTGTTTTTGAGTTTTATCAATAATTTTCCACTAGGTTTGAAATCAACAGTGAGGCTTTATGCTGATGATTGTGTTTTGTATTGCCCAGTCAAGTGTTTTGATGACACCACAGTACTTCAGTCTGACCTTGATAAGATTGTGTCTTGGTGTGCTCAGTGGCAAATGAGTTTGAACCTAACTAAATGTTTTCATGTGTAATTTAATAACAAAAAAAAGGTAGTATCCAGGTCTTATTACTTAAATTCCTGCGCAGTACAAAAGGTAGATCAAGTTAAGTATCTCGGCGTAACATTCACGGCAACACTAGATTGGACCAGTCACGTAGATCTAATCACAGCCAAGGCTTCGCGCTTAATTCATTTTTTCAAAGAAATTTCAGCGACGCGCCGCAAACACTCAAGGAAACCCTGTATATTACAAATGTGCGCCCAATTTTAGAGTATGCTTGTGTTTCTTGGGACCCTTTCACGAATGTACTAAAAAAAAATTGGAGAGGGTGCAAAAAAGGGCTGCTAGGTTTGTTATGGGAAACTACGATTTTAGAATAAGGTCTTCTGGAATTCTTCAGGCCTTGGGATGGGAACCCCTTTGTGGACGACGGAAAGTTCAAAGACTTAAATTTCTCTATATTATATGTCACGGTAAGACTGGGCTAAATAAAGAGCGGTATTTAAAGACGCCTAGTTATATGTCCGAAAGGAAAGATCACTTATATAAAATTAGAGAATATACCTGTCGATTGAATGTCCTTAAATACTCTTTCTTTCCAAATTCTATTAGTGACTGGAATGCACTAAAAATACCAATATTCTCTGATTCTAATTTCCTAAGAGCCATTGAAACAGCATTTTGAGCTGCTGAAATAACCCATATATATAACATTGGCTCATATATTTAACGTTGTATTCTATTTTCTACTGTAACCCCCCTACAACAATGCCCAATGGGCAATGTAGGTATTTGTAATAAATAAATAAATAATAAATAAAACCTGAAACGCTCGAAGAAAGGTAAAGGCGAGGAGCTCAG